ATGCACCACAGGTGAAATAACTAGTGAGGAAGTAAACAAGCCAAATAATAGGATATTATCTATTGGTATGAAGAAGGCAGGAAGAAAATGGGAAATGGATGCTTGCTTTCAGTAGTTGAAAAACAAGTATTGTAATTTATTATTGACAGTCTTTTAACCTTATTTGGCATTATATGGTTCATTAAAGGCTACTTTCAGAGTATAAGAGTCTGAAAGAAGAAAATACTGTGTTTGGTTTTGGTTCTTAAGTCTCTGATAGATAGAAATGATTATTAGGAACAAAGAAATGAGTGGGAATTAGTTATTCTTTTTTTAATATGAAAAGCATAATAAATAATGATGGAAATTAATAATTTCTTGAATAAATGTTGTGTAGCTATGATACTATATTGGAGACCTTTTATTTTACTTTTCTTATATTAAAAATTCAATATTTTCCTTGTGGTTTTAAAAAATCCTGGATATTCTTGAGAAACAAATGTAAATATCTTAATAATGTGATTAATAAAGTGCATCTGTGAACTAGAAATGAGAATATTAAACAATATTTTAGATTTAAAATCATTTAGCAAGTTGCTTAGATGGTGAACTTCTTGTAGGGATGACTCTGTCTTGCTGAAGCACAAAAACTTACAGCAAACTACATTTTCCAGACTTCATAGTGGCAAATAGCTGTATCATTTGCAGTGTTATAGTCCTGGAAGTAATAGAAGGGACATACTGTCCCCCAGTAACTGTTGGTTTTTGGAGACAAAATTCTCCATGGGTTTAGAGAGTAGCATAGAGACAGAAACTGCCATAGGCTAAACCCAAGAAGTTGTCAGAAAGGTTTTGGAAAAAAGTGGAGAAGTGTCTGTAATAGCCGTCAGGATGTCACAACCACAGGGAAAGATATGACTGCAGAATTAATTGGATTACTCAGTTACATCCCAGTTGCTCTGGAAACTTATAGTAATGCTTCCTGTGTCAACACAAAGATGGAACAAAATAATTTGATAGTTTTTTGTTTGTTTGTTTGTTTGTTTTGTAAATCATTCATTGTGCAATAAATATTTCACAAATCTTTTCTTACTTTGTGGGATTTTCAGCACATTAGTCCTGATTTCTATAAATATGTTCTATAAATATTTTCATTAATTCATTAGGCTGTTTGGACATTTATAAAGTGTTATTTATAAAAAATGTCCTGACAGAATAAGTGTCCTGCTCCGACAAGGAGGTGTATGTGAATATATCTACTGAAGTTGTATTTAAAATTTTCTAATACAGTTTAACTTACAAAATCTGAGTTTTAAATTCAATTTAACAAACTTTTTAAAATATCCTCAGAACAATCTCTGTTAACAACTCAATAGGAATAGGTAAAGGTTTTCACTCTTTTCTGTTGTCAGGATCTTTATAATATTTTTGAGTGCCATTTCATGTTCATTCAGATGTTGTTTCATTTACAGCAGATAATATTAGATAGTCCAGTTTTCTATAAAATTTTCAAGACTGATGCAGGAAGGATATAGAACCTGCAAAGAAAACTGTCTTGCTAATAGTAGGATATATTAGATTATTGAAAATACTCTCAACAAAGTAGATTAGTACCTTACATGAAGCTAAGAATAGGAGAGAGTTTCCAGAAGGTTTCCTCTAACTAAAAAGGGAAACTTTTAGAGCTGAAGATTAATTTTGGATGAAGATTTAGATATTTGTGCTGGAAGTCAATAGTATAATGGCAAACATCCAACAAAGAAACAATGGCAACTTGTAGGATATCCATCACATTGCAAAACTCTTTTTCATTCAGATGCCTGTCTTCATCTCCATTCAAGTAACTGTTACTTTATTTACAAAAATAATAGTGTTTTATGACTAGTCCTTAAGTTTTTTCTAGCTGAAGTATCTATGTGTCAGCATAATCAGACAGAACAGTTATAGAATATGCCTAAACAGATGGAACATTAAAATAAGTATAAGTTTTAGTTGTACATCATGCTAGAAAAGATGAATAAAATAGGCATAAAACCAGATGCAGCTGTTGAGGATTCTATATGGGATTGAACTTCTTTCTTGTGCTGTTATATCTGGAATCCTTTAGAGGATTGTGAAGGAGATTTGTATCCAGAATTTTACCAGCAGAAAAATAGGTTCTTTTTTTTTTTTTTTTTTTTTTTTGTATAATCTAGGACTGAGCATTTACTTTCTGTAAATTTTCTTAATGAATTATTTTAAATAACTTAAAAGCTATTTAAACATTAAATTCTATTTAAAAACCTTAAAATCCCATGACTTTAGCTACATGGTTTATGCTAGTACTGCTATAAACTGCTAGTACTAGCACTGCTAACTAGTTAGTTAGCATTACTAACTAGTAATGCTAGTACTATAAGCAGGCTTTCCAATCACAGGTGTTTCATTTACATTCACCTGTCTTGCTTACTTGTAGTATTTGTGGCTATCTATCATGCTGCTGAGAAGCTGAAAAAAATATATTTTAAAGAGTTATATAGTGAAATTCAGGAGCTTTTCTTGTTGTTTTCATAAATTGCCATGAAATAGATTGTAATTTTTATAAGTAAGCCAAAGTGAAGTCAAATACTGAAGTCCAAGCCTGAAGAAATAGCTTAAGATGAGGATGAAAAAATGTAATCAAAAGAATACATCTTCATTCACTTTTTTGTGGATATTAGGATCAGCTGGAAAAGACAAATTAGCCTTAAATATGCAGATCATCAAGATTTTATGATTTTAGTGCTTAATTCATGATCCAAAACTAAGCAACAGTAAATGCACCATCTGGATATTTAATGATTATAATCTTTTTTGAGTTCTGTTGCTATGCTTCCCAAAGTCTGTTTTTCTCATTTGTATCCCTTTGTCAGTCAGTGTTAAAGTTGACTGGTCATGTGGTTATTTAGGACTTCATTTTGGCGAGGAAAACTACAGATAATGTTAATTACTTCTAGAAAATTTGTAAGGCTGTCTTTTCCATGCATTGTTAACATTTCAGCATGTGCCACCTAAGTTTTTTTTCAAGATCTTCTAAAAACATTGCAGATGATTAGGAAAAGAACTCGGCTTTGTATAAGTCTCCTGCTGAAAGATCTGGAAATGAGCTGCAATGTCTGATTTTGGTTCATGACGATTATTCCCTTAGTTCAAGCACAGTAACCTGTAGAATTTTACAGGAGGAAATAATAGCTTATAGCTATCACTGGCAGCACGCTATGCAGAGTGTGATCAGTTTTGATATATTTTCCTTGGTTATAGGCAGGCTAAAATTTTTTCTCAAATAGCAGTTGGAATGTGTAAGCAAGGTGAATGTCAAACTGAACAAATAAGACATATGTAAAACATAGGTGTATGATAAAAAAAAAAAAAAAAGAAAAGTCACACCTTTACCAGTGGCAGTGTCTTTTCTCACTTGTTCTCACTTGTTATATATCACAAAATAGATGTGACTTTTGGATGCTGTATCCAAGTTTGTGTGATCCACATTTAAAACTTTCCTAGAAACTCAGAATATGCAAAGGAATGAGATTAGTTGAAAGTACAGATAGAAGATAGCTTGAAGAGTTAGACAAGGTTCGTCATAGTGTCAATTCACATTTAAAGACTTTCTAAAAAAGAATTTCTGAAAGCACAATTTTTATTTTGCATGGAGAATATTCTGAATTGAGCTGTGTAAGCCACTAGAACTGTAAGAATTATTTCTGGAGTCTATCTCATCTAACTTTCTTGTCTAACTGTCTGTAACTGTGTTAGTTACACTTTCCTGTGCAACTTTCTAACTGTTACTCATATATAGATTATGTATTGTACATTACCTGCACATTTGGAATTCTGTTGATGTTTGCTGGCTATCTGTTTCTGGCTCTTGCAAATGAAAAATTATTCAATTCTCTCTACACACAGTTGTCAATGTTTTTTGACTTGTGTATCAGTCTACTAATTCAGGGAGCTATGTGCCTGCGGATTAAAGAGAAATGAATGGAGAGAAAGATCTGACAAATTTGTGTAATTTTAGTTGTTAGGAAAAAGCTTTTGTTACTTTAGAACCATTAATTACTTTGGATTCTAGCTCCTAGGCACTTAGATAGTTGCTTGGCTCTGAAAGATTATGAGAAGAAGAAAATAAAGGCTTACTGACTGTCATTTTCTTAGTTTCAACTGCAAGCAAACTTTGTGAAATGTTTGAGCTAACTTTTTATAATGCGAAACAATCGTGGCAAATGATGGAATGACAAGACTGATTATATCACAAATTAAAAACATAATGAAAGTGGGGAATTTTTCAAGCCTGCTGGCATTTTACTGCTATGTACAGAAGCACAAAAAGTATATTTTCCACTAACATATAATTTTTATATAAATCTGTATGTTCATGGCCCATAATTGCTAATAATTTTCCAAGCTGAATGAAGAAAAAAAATGATTATTTCTCTTTAAGACTCATTTTGACCAAAACTTATGCAGTGTTGTGTTTTTTTCTCCTTTTTTTTTTTTCTTTTTTTAAGGTATTTACCATTTCCTGCATTAGTAAATGTTCAATTCCTTAGCCAATGATCCTGAATTTTAATAAGTGAATATCTTAAATTTGAAACACTAGTGTCTGCGTCATCCTTTTACCTACTGTTAAAATCGGTAAGACAGTAGCTTTCAAGAAGAATCTTAATTTTTCAGCAGTAGATATTGCCTGAATCTGGTAAACATTTATTTCTTCGTCTGCAGCTATGAACTTCTAAAGGAAAGAATGTGAAAAAGAGTATTAGATACTCTTCAAATCACCAATATAGATTTCCTTTCACATATCCAGACTTGAGCTTAAATTAGGAAATTGTAAGATATCATACATTAATGAAACCAAAATTCAGAAGTAGGAATGGAAGCTTAAATGGCAATAGTTTGCTAATATGGTAGACAACCAGGGGTATGTTTTGCTATACATGGGAATAACTCCAATATCCCTTTATTTGGGTTACATATTCTTGTGTTTGTTCTTTCCTTTTTAGGAACCTGTTTCTGGCCCCATGGCGTTACGTACATTTAAGGAATCAAAACTATTCCAATCAGTTCCTCCCACGAAGCTACAGAAGAGCTAAAGGGAACAGTGCATGCTTCGTGTGAATGAAGAACATTGCTGATCCACAGCTAGGTAAGAGGAAAGGAAACTTTCTATAATATATGCTTCTCAGCCACAACTCGGAGCAGTCAGTATCAACCCAGGGACAGCTCCACCCACTTAATCACTTTTATAATTTATATACACTGTTGTAGCGGCATTTATTTTTTTCCTTTGCCCAATCTATACTTACCTATTAAAGTGTATGATTCTTGAGTCTAGTTTGATTTAAAAATCAAATTTCTGTCAGTGATGTTCTGTCTCATTATCTCTATTTACCCTTGCACTTCACAATGATCTGCAGTCCTGTTAATGGAAGTATTTTGTCTTTGAAATGGAAGTATTGTGTCTTTGATTTTGTTCTCTTTTTTCATCCCCAAAATTTGTATGTAGCTTTCATGTGAAGTGGATCATTCTTATCTGTTATCACACCTACAAATTTCTTTATCTGAAACTTGCAAGCTTAAATTTTCTGTGCTCTCATTTCTGCAGAAATAGGAAGCCAAATAGGGGAAAATGAAAGCAAGTGGCTTTAAGAGTACAGATGTCCTAGACTTGGAAAGTATTCCTAGCAGGAATGCAACTTCTGTAGTCAAAACTGTCTTATTACTAATTAGCATATTCTGAATCCCTCATGGGTATATATTGTGTCAGCAAAATGAATTTTCTTCAAGCAACTGTAGTGACTTAATTGTTCTTATATCTATATTAGAGACTGTCAACTCCTCATGTCACTGTTCATCTACGTATGCAAATAAAAGCTTGTAAAGTAAACATGGCTTGAGGCCAAGAATATAGAGAAGTAGGTTGCAAAAACATTAGTACTGTGTTCATGGGATAAATGTGTTAACCTAAAATTTGTATTGGCTTTTCATTTGAAAAGCTGTCACACCAGCTGAGTTTGGGGCAAAAGAAGTTTGTCTGGGAACCAGGTATGAAATGCAGTCATGTGAACTGGTAGACAGTGTTTTTCCAGTGAAGAAAATCAAAACAGCTGAAGACAGTCTGATATCCACTTTATCAAATTTTTCCACTCAATTCTTTCCTATAGCATCCAAAACCTGGCACCCCGTGGGTGAACCTTTTGTGATTGATTATTGTAGCATAGACTGCTAGTGAAGGATAAAACAGATAGCATAGACTGCTAGTGAAGGATAACATAGATAGCACAGACTGCTGTGAAGAGTCTGCTTCTCAGCAAGTTCTCTAATACATTATGTAACATTTAATAATGTGATGATCAAAAATCATGACTAATTGAAGCAGTGTGCCATACTGAAAACTTTGGATAATCCTGGGATGCCAAAACAGGTAGAAAAAAGTTCTTCATATGGTGGTTTTCAATTTCTGTGCAGACCACCTGAACATTTTACCAGTGATTTCTTAGAATGACTTTCTCATTTTTGGTGTTCTCTTGATTCCTAAGAAATATGGTACTGTATTGTGGAGCAAAGAGGTCATGAAGAACCCAAAACTGCATTGATGCAGGATGACATGAGACAGGAACTAGTAGACTTTGGCTTGCTGAACAAATATTAGTGAAATTTCTCAGCAGACCTTTATAAAAATAATCTTAGTAGCCTGGTTTAGATGAAATGCCAACAATTTGAAATGCCTTTGCAAAGGAAATAACAGATTCGGTTGATTACAGACTTAGGGTGAATAATGGAACAAGTTTGATATGCTGTTCCCTACTAGATATCTTGGGGGAAAAACAAACTGTAGCACTGAAGGTAGTCTAGAGCATGTACTAGATTAATGAAATACGCAGAATTTAATAAATGGAAAAGTTCTTCTGCTATTAGGTAGACCTGACAGTTATTGGAATCATATAGTAAAGCTATTCAGTTGGAAAAAATCATAAATAGCCTACTGTTGCCTCTAGCATTTGTTGCATTGTGTTGAAATGGCTCCTCAGAAAATCATAAAATATATTAATGCATAGAAATGACCACACGCAGGAACTATTTTTCTTGGCATGCTGTTTATAGCCTGAGAAAAAATTAATAATGAGTTTGGTGAGCTAAGTGACATCTATATTTTAAGTATTGCTGTTCCTGTAATATTTTTTTTCCATTTGCCATGTTCCTTTGTTACTTAGGAGAAACTAGAAATGAATACTAATTAGTCACAATGAATATTTGATGTAACACTACTCTTTTCTTTTTAAGCCAGCTTCATGTTTTTCTTCCAGATGTGATACTTTCTCTCAATGGCTTATATTGTTCATTATGACTAAATGAATAAGTATTTTTCGACAGTACCTGCCCTAAAAACAGGCTCATACATACTATCATCATGAGCTCCGTAAACCTTCTTCCTTTTATTATATTTTTTCCCTGAAGTGTACTTCAATGATCTGAAAAAAAAATTAATAATAGAATGATAAATCTGGAAAAACTTATAAGAAACTCAGTAGTGACAAATGAAAGGCAACACACTTGGATAGGAGTAACCACTTTTCACAGATACAGGATGGTGAATAAAAACTGAAGCAGCTTTTTGGCATTATTTTTAGGTCTTTTGGCTTTTATTTTGATTGATAGAGTTCTAATTAAAATTTTAGGAAGTAATAAAAAGGAAAATAACAATTTTTACTAATAGTGTGCTAGCTAAATTTTGTGCTTATGCCTCCATTATAGAATCTTTTTTTCTTTTTAGTTTTATTCAGACACGAAGATTTTATAAGTTGAAACTGTAAAAGTCTGTCTAGTGTAATTAAATATTACTTTTTTCACTAAAACAATAACAATGATCAGAACTTCAGTATGCACTTAGTGACCTCACTGCATCACTATTTTAAAAGATGTTTACTATTCTGTGAAATAATATTCTGCTTGGAAAATTGAACTTACAGAATTATCTGTTTTTATTCTCATAAACAAGTGGAAGTTTGTACACATTGACTGTTGTAGGAGATGTGTACTATGGTGGACTGGGAAGAAAGCTGCTGTGTGCCCATCTGCTAGATATACTGAAATGCAAAAATGTACTGTTGGTCTTCTTGATCTCTTTAGTCTTAACGTTATTAGCAAAGTGGAAGAAAGATGGCACAAGTTGGAAATAGCCTAAAAATGGTTTTCATCTTTGGATCTTTAATTTCTGGTAGTTCTGAACAATAGTTTATTACACTGTTTTTCTTGCTTTGATTTGTGATGTGTACTTAAAGCAAGGTCAGGATCCTTAGCTTGCATTCTGGTGGCTTCACTCAGTGACTTCTTGGGGAATAAAAGTGTAAAAGGTAATGAATGAGGTAATGAATGATCCTCCACTTTAAATGGAGGATGATCGATGCATATTCCCATTCCAATGTACAGAACTGTGAACCACTAGGAAGGAAAAATTCATTGTCCAAGAACCTCTCTTCACATTTGCCACTGCAGACTTACTTATCTACTTAGAATTGAATGTATGATCTTTTAAACTCAATAATTCTAAATGATCTCTGCTCACCCATGAGGCAAGCTTTCTCCTAATGGATTGATAGGTGGTGAGATTTAGCTGTTACGTATTTTTATTTTGTACTGTATGTTTACTCTGAAGTTGGTAATAACATATGTTAACTTAAATTATGTGTAGGTGCTCAAGGTGAGTGAGTGTTTTTTACAGTAAAAACATTAATAGCAGAAATCTCTGAGGGAGCTAGTTACATGAGGTCAATAAATTCTTGACCTTGTCAAGCTTGGCTTGGTATAGCTATTGTTCAACTGAAATAGCTTTTCAAATAAACAGAAGTTGTCATAGTTTTCTTCCATTTTTCATTTTTTAATACGAAGCAATATTCAATGACCAATATTTTTGATTCATGATAAAAAATGGTATTTGAAATCAAGAATTGAACTGAGAACTATTACCTGAAGCAGTAGATTTTGTATTGTTTCTTCTTAGACTGTGAGGCTGGAAAGTTTTATGTTTTTCTTAAAATAAATAAATAAATAAAATGGAGGGAGTAGTGTTGCTAACTTAGAAAAAAAAAAAAACAACTTAATATTCCACCTGATGTTTCTCAATCAAGCCATAATTACTTGATCATCCAAAAAACATTAGAATTCTTTAATATTAACTCATTTTCTCAACTAATTTCTTGAGATATATTTCCATTAAGCATTTAAATCAGTTTTACAGTCTGAAATTCCATGATATCTTTACAGTTTGCAGTGTAATATTCAGAGAGAATTTCATACTGGTTTTAATTATAAAAGCCTTCCAAATCCACTGCATTAAAACCTGAAGGTACCCCTTTTGTTTGTATGATTCTTCTGTTTAAAAGGGAGGTTTTTTGTTTAAGCACAAATAACTGCCTACCTAGGTTCAGTTACCTTTTTTAGCCTCAAGGTGGAACCTGAGGTACTTGTCAGAAGAAGCAAATAGTCTGAGATGGTAGTTGCAATTGTGTCTTACACAGTGAAGATTCACAGTTTCTGGCACATGGTCTTTACAGGAAAATTCAACTGATTGGTACAGTTTTCAAGACAAGTTCTCAGAATTTCATTTGCCTGTGAAACTACTTGAATTTGCTGCATCTGTCACAAGGCAATTTGAATAGTGCACAGAAATATTAATTTGTATATTTAAATTTAGTCTTCTATATATATTTTTTAAATTAGATGCTACATCTATTACTTTTTATCACAGCACACCATAGAGAGTGTTTCTCACAGCAACTAGAACATGCCTCAAGCTGTTATGTGCAGTTTATAAGCTATTATTATGACATGAATAACAAAGATATATTTTTGGAAGTGTATGGGAAAGGTAAATGAATGGTTTTACTGATAAGATAAACAGACAAATGAAGTAATACATTTTATAATTAAAGTTGATAGTTTCAGGATTAGTCAGAAGCTCATAATATAGTATTATCTTCTTATGTGCTCAGTGTATGCTACAAAAACCTAAGAATACTCTCAGGAAGTAAGTGATAATCTTGACTGACAATCCAGCAAAGATTTTAACAACTGGCATGTTTTGGATTGAAGCTTTAAAATTTCCTTTTCTTAGACAGAAAATTAGATCTAAGTAAGACCAGTGGAC